CCGCCCTGCCCTTCCCACCGTCACCAGCACCATGTGGGCTCCCACCTTTGGCCCAGCTGCTCCGCCCGCAGCACAGCCGTTCCCAGGGAGAAGCTAGAAATAAGTCTCCAAGAGGGAATTTGCAAGTGCTAGTGTCCTGCGTGGGAATTTACAAGTGCTACTATCCAGCCATCCCTTTACTTTTGGTTTGGTTTGTTTGTTTGTTTTTTTTTTGCACAAGCTACCTGGGGAAGGAAAAGAAAGCCCTAAGGGGAAAACCCTTATTCTCGGTGTGATGAGTGAGCCCAGATCTTGTCAGCCTGAAGGGAAAGCATTGTCAAGTCATGGAAAAGGGGCTTGAGACCGCAGGTGCCTGGGTTACCTTTTTTTGACTAATTGCTGGTGTTTCCACTCGTGGATAAGGTGAGAGTCTGTGATAAATATATTTATTTTCCTGGTCTTTTGGATGTTGGGTTGCTGCATTTGTTTGGTGGCCCTAACTACTGTGACATGAACTGCCAGGGGGTTTGCAAGGTGGCCTCTCACCCATCCTGGGTGCAGCTCCTGACACAACAGGCCAGAGTATAAACCTTCCACTGGCCTAAAAAATCAGAAGAAAATACGGGTGTTTGATGATGAAGGAGCCCAAATGCGTTCATCTGGCTCTGGATCCGGACATGGTGCTGAATACATGTTTCTAGCAGAGATGGGTTCTGCAAACTAAAGAAGTGCTCAGATTTAATGAAAAGGGGGAAATAGTACGTTGGGCAATGGGTAACTCAATGCCAATCAGATCAGCAAAGTCCTGGAAACCCTGGTCCTGGTGCAGCGGGAATGCTGAGGGATGAGGCTGATGCAAGCGAGCCCCAGACTTGTGTGATGCTGTCCAAAGGATGCTGTGGTGCTCCGGTGCCTCTGAGCAGACATGGTGGGAATAAGGAGTCGTTTAACAGCACAGCAAGGCTGAGTAAATAGCTGGGGTTGGGAAAGGGAAAAAGGGAATGTTTTTGCCAAATATTCATTAGGATTTGAAAGCCCATTTCAGTTTGACCTTGTTCTCCTGCTGCAAACATTCGAGCTCTCAGGCATTGCATGCAGTCAGTGCTTGAGTGAGGCAAATGTTAGGCTTGGATGTTGGGTGGGTGGCAGTTTGGGAAGGCATCTCCTCGGTTGGAATGGTAGGAATTTGGGGTGCGAGTCACTTACGGAGGTCGCTGGTGTGATAGAAGGGGTGCAGATAACCCAGGGATGGGAATTCGGGTCCCCTGGCGACTGAGAGCACCTTGTGAAGTGGTGGTGGGTGGTGGGGAAGGCAAATGGATGTGAATCCAGAGGACATCATGACCTGTGAATGGCGCTTCTGCTGGCTGAGCCTGCGGCATCCCCCCTCAGGTTAGCGTGGGAGCAGAAAGGTGTGGAAAGGGGTGGAGCAACGGCAGAGTAATGTCAGGAGAGAGCTGGGACTCTGGGTGGACACAGAGCTGGTTGTTCCACTGTCCAGCTTTTAGAGGTAAGACCACAGTCTTTGCAAAAAGGAGTGGCGTTGAGAGGCTGTTTGGAAGTGCGCAGGGAAGGGAATGGGCATGGAGCTGCTGCAGGCAGCAGGTACAGCCAACACAGCCCTTTCCCTAGGGACAGTGAGAGCAAACTCTTGCCCAAATCAGTTCTACAGCTTCCCAGATAAGTGGCAAAAGTGGATGGGCTCCCTCCTTCCCTGANTCACTTCCAGCCGCAGCTGAATTTTTGAAGTTGTTTTATTTCGGTCACCATCCGTTTTCCACCAAGTCACATCACGAGAAACGGTGAGAAAAACAGGGGATGCGTGTTTGTAGGAGCGAAAGGATCTGCGCTTTATTTATTTATCTATTTATTTCCCGCAACTTTTGAATTATTAAAGCGTGTTCAGCGGAGATTAACTTTCCCTGCTCAATATTTATTATTGTTTCATTTCCCTGGAAGTTGGAGCTTTGATGAATGGGCTGGAAGGTTCTGTAGTTTCTCCGTGGCTAATCTAAGTACGTCCGTATCCTCTGCTGAAAAGCTAATTTGTAATTTCCTATGGTAATGCCACTTAGTGAATTATAACGATGCACCGGGGTCTGCTTTTCCTCCCGCTCCTCCGCTGGGGGAACGGCGCTGCCGTCGGAAAATGGTGTCAAACCTGGAAACTGGCCATTAGCCCCCTAAATTTTCGGTCTAATAAGAGAAATCCAGAAAGCCTGTGGGACCATCTGGTCTGTTTTCTCACGTCTGGGCTGGAAAGCATCCGCCTGCCCCCGGTGTGGTTTCAGGGATGGGAGAGGTGGCCGGAGCCAGCACCCTGTGCCGATGCCACGACCCGTCTGCCCGTGTGGGTTTGCGTCAGCGACCGGAGCTGGATGGTGTGCACAATCCCTGCTCCTGCAAACCTCTCCCACCACCCCAATTATAATCAAGTGTTATCAGTCTTTTGAATAATTGAAGAGGCTTTCTGTTGAATATTTAATTACGATAATATTTGGTTAGCGGGGGTTGTTGGGCTCCATTTGTGCAATTGAGAATTACTGCAAGAAAACAACCTGTTAAAAGAAAATGTTTTTGTCTATGATCATTGATTTATCTTTTTTTTTTCTTTTTAAGCTAATCAGTTACTTAGTTGAAATTGGTTAATTAGCTGAGCTCCATTAAGACTCTTCGGCATTTAAACTCGATGTTTCTAAATAATTATAGTTTTGCCTGCTAAACCCACAACCCAGGGTGACCTAATTACTATTAAAGGGAGACGTGCTTTGGTCTGGCTTTAATAAGTCCCTGCTGGGAGCCCTGTGGTGAAAAATCACAGAGGCAATAGTTCAAAGGGGAAGGGGCTTGTGCCAAGCCTTGGATGGGGAGGATGACTGTCCTTCAGCCTTGCTTCTTCCAGCCTAAACCAGGGATGGTCTTGATTTGGGAGGAGAGGAGCCCCAGAGCATCCCCATGGCTGGCATCTCTGTGCCATCCACTTATGGGGACCAGTGGAAGGTGATGGCAGGTAGTTGCTTGGAAAACAAGAGAGTTAGGATTGGTTTTAGTTCATTGAGTGTTAATTTGCTTGTTTTCTCAGTCATTCCCCTTAATAAGCAGGTGGAGTCCTTTCAAGATCTTTCCAGATGGGGAAAGAAAAAAAATACACTATTAAGTTAATCTTGTTTGTTTGTTGTTTTTTTTTTTTTTTCTTTTTAACAGTAGTAAGGTTATTTAGGTTATTATTAAGATCTAGTGGAAGGTGTCCCTGCCCATAGCAGGGGGTTGGAGCGAGATGATCTTTAAGGTTCCTTCTGACCCAAACCATTCTGTGATTCTAGGATTTTATTTATTTATTTATTTATTTATAATTTGGAAATAGCCATGCCAAGTAATTAGAGATTAGTGGAGCCTCAGGTATGTGCTCGTTTGTGTAGTGAATAAGATGTTTATTATCTGTAGAGGCATCCAGTCGGGGTTACTGGTGGTTGGAGCTGTTAAGCTTTAATTTGTTATGCAATGAGTAAAAGTGGTAACTGGGAATAGGTGACAGGCTGTGGAAATCCTCACTTTTAGGCCATTTCATCCCATCCTTGGTGGGGTCTTCATTGTGACTTCAGAGGATTGTTTCATGATATTTTCTCCCCAAAAGTCCTTCTCACATCCTGCCTGCCTCTACAATCACCAGTACCCTTTGTGCCACATCCCAGCAGCAACTGGGCACCAAGCTTTGGATTATTCAAACCCAACCAGCCTTTTCCTTGGACTGCTCTGTGCATGGCTGGGTTTTGGTGTCTTTGCCTGACTGTATATTACATTTTTGAGGGGAAGGGCAGCTCAGCCCACTGGGTGCTCTCCTCTCCTGGTTTTGCTGTCTACCCTCTCCAGTCCTGCAAACCCCAAGGCCTGTTGCACATCCACATCTTTCCCACCCTTTCCCTATTTTCTTTACGTTTGCAGGGCAGAGCATGGGGACATCTTTTTTTGCACGTCCTGGGGCAGGGCAGGTCACCTGCTTGTTGCCTCCTGGGCTTGATTTCAGGTGGAGGCTGCTTCTCCTTCAGCCCCAAAACCTGGGAAAACAGTGTCTGCTTTGAACATGGGGTCAATCCCCTGTGTCCTCTCCTTGTGGGGTGCTGTGGGTGAGCCAGCAAGTGACACCCAAAACACAGTCGGGTGACAAAGCCGGGGTGGACCCAGAGCTGGTGTTGGTCCCCTGTCTCCTGGTGCTAAAACCCACACCACTTGTGGAGGGATGGAGCAGGGAACGGCAACGTTTGAAGTTTTATGGAGGTTTTTCACTTCTTGTTTAGCAATCAGAGGCCAGGGACGGGTCTTTGATTACTCGAGGCCTCCGCTCGTTTCAGCCGCTTCCGTAGCCGCGGGGTTGGAGCCGCCTCATTATTGTCCTTGCTGGGGTCCTGTTGATGGGAGGATAATTGCTTTTTGCTCAAAAGACATTAAATCACCGCAGAAGAGGCAAAGGGGTGTGAATTACGTCTTCCCGGGCAAACCAGGAACTTGGCAGAAGAGTTGAAAAGGAAACACCATCCTCCAGAGGCAGGAGGAGATCGGGGCTGGCTGTGTGGGTCTGCTCCAGTCCCACTGCCCTCAGGATGGGGGGAGCTGGGAGGGAGACAGCCTGATGTACTGGGCACAGGCTGGGGCTGACCTTAGTGGTGGCTGGGCACTTTAGTTTTTCACCCAACACCTGTAGCTTCCTATTTCCAAATGCCCAAGGAAGGAGATGAACACGTAGGGCCAGAGCAGGAGCGGGGTGCTCTCGGAGTGCTCCATTAGGCGCTGGCTCTGCTTTTCATTTGAAACAAACGTGTTTGGAAATAACAGAATTGTCAGAATTGTACTGTCAGAAGTACTTCTTACAATGTTTTTGTCTAGTCCAGCACCTTTGCCTCCTGTGATGTACCCGTGGAGCTGGTGAGGTTGCTCCATGGGTGTGTTTGCCTGTGGTCTGTAGCAGCCCGGAGGTGCCTTCGGTGGTAACTCCATCCCTGCGCTTCTGCTGTGGTTATTTTTAAGGCAGTGATCTTTAATTTAATAAAGGAAATTATGGGCATGATCTGGCTGCAGGCAAACCCAAGGCACATGGAGCTGCTTCTCAGCCCGTGGGGTTTGGCTGGAGCTCTCCAGAAGCTCCGTGCAAGTCTCTTGGAGATGCGTGGCCTTTGCTGCCTATGCTTTGCCCCTTGAGAGGAAATTGCTGGTGAGGGTCTAGGTGGTTTGAACACATCAGGGTCTCAATAGAGGCACTGTGAGATCACATCAAGTGATGTCATTTGGACCAGAGATGGAGCTGTAAAGGGGTAATTTCTGGTGTCATAAAATAGAGGAGGATCAGCTCCGTGCCACGTCTCCTGGGGAGTGATGTGTGGCATCTCGAGCTGTGTCGTTGTGCCAGGTAGCCTCTGTCTTGCTCAGTGAAATGAAGAAAAGCACCAGCTGTGCAGGAATTAAAGGCATCAATGCCTTTTTCTTTGGCCCCAGGTTGGGTCAAGCCCTCCTGAGCTCTGTCCATCAGCTGGCAGTGCTGCCCCTGACCCAGGGATGCCGCAGCCAACCTTGTGGAGGAGAGGAGGGGGGTGCTGGCTGGTGGGCGCTGTAAGGTCACGACCTAATTGTGTTCAGTCTTTAAAGATCAGCTTTACTCTTGCTCCATGTGCCATGTGTGGGTTATTCCCACAGTGGCTGCACCGCTGGGTGCTCATGGGAGCTCCTGTGCTCACAACTCAGCTCCAGAGCCTGACCAAGGCTGTGGAAAGACACTGCTAACTTCCAGGGGCTCTGGATGAGGCTGGAGAAGAGGGGCTGCTTTGAGAAGGGCTCTGCTTTGAGCCCCCTCCAGCACTGCCTTTGTGTGCCAGTGCTGGGCTCTGCTGCCAGGGCTCATGGGAATGGGGAAATCCCTGCTTTTGCACCATCCCTAACTTGGGGGAAGATGGCCCAGCTGCCTCCCACCATTGGGACCCACTCACAGCATCCCCCAAAATGGCCTGGCTGCCTCCCACTCGCAGCATCCCCAGGGCTCCCTGCTGATGGGGCTTGAGGAGCGATGGGCAGGCACCCACCTTACCCTGTGCCTCTATAACTCCTATGTTTTCCCACTCTGGACCCCGTGGGTCTGGTGTGTGCTTTGGTTGTTCCCAAATGTCATCTCCTGAGTCACGGGCCCAGCAGATTTTTGGAGGTGGCTCTGCGGCAAGGCACGTTTTTATTTTGTTCTTTAAAGCTTTGCGGTGTTCAGGGGAAACTGGGATGTCTTTGAACCATTTAAAGTATTCCTAATAGGTTACCTTGAAAGCTTTCCGCAGTCTTGAATGAATCAAAGTGCAAATGTTTATAATGCAACACCCACACAGGCTGGGAGAAGAATTTTATTAAGGCAGGAGAGT